TCTGCAGCCTCTGGCATTCTTGATCCTCAGAGGATGGAGAGTGGGAATGCTGAAGGGGTCTTGGGACAGACCTCTGGCCAACAGAGGAGGAGGTGGGAAAGACAGCAGCCTTCCCAGGAGGTAGGAGGAGCTAATGCCTGCATTGACAGCCCCTGCTGTGCTGTGGGTGGGGCTTGGCATCTGAACAGGTAGTAAGTCATGAAGTCCTCACACCACCCAGTCTGATGGGGTCTAGCTGTATCTGTATTTATTCGCATCTTACAGAGAAGACTGAGGCTCAGGGAGGTGCCCCAGGACACAAAACCCAGCTCAGAGGGGAAGATGAGGTTGTCAGAGAAGGTTTCTGGTGGGAGAGGGTCACAGGGGACCCTAAGTTGGAAGAGGAGGAGGTACAGTAGGTACCACATGGAGGACGCCCCAACTAAGTTGTGTGCTTGCTATACCCTGTCCTTGGCATCTTGGCCTCAGCCTGGACCCACTATGGATGTCCTTCTGAGTGGACCAGTATATCTCCACACAGTATATTTCCACTGTGGGGAAAGGCAGTCCCCTCCTGCTGGGTCCCCATGCCCTCCCTGTTCTGGCTGCCTCATGCAGGATGAGGGGAGCATCAGCACAAGAGATCCTCTGAGACTCAATGAGATGGGACTCAGGTGTCCCCAAGTCCCTTTTGACTCTCAGGGAGGAGCTAGGAGGAGGCAGGAAGGCCAGAAGTCTGGCCACAGCTCCAGGTCCACATCCAAGAGGAAACTTTGCTCCTAGCCCCCTCCAGCACCCCCACCCCTGCCTGCCTCTCCAGCTGCACCAACACAGGCTGACCTCTGGGTTTCTGCCACTTCTCCATCACTTCACTCCAGCCTTAGCCTCTAGGACCCCAAGCATGGAGGGCTACAGAGCTGTGGGGAAAGCTAGGCTTCTGCTGTGGCTCATAGGAGCCATGACCCCAGCTTCTGGAATCCAATCTTGTAGGAGGCACTTGAGGCCTCATCTCTGTCTAGGCAGGGCCACCAAGCTCTGAGCTCAGAGACCCCCAAGCCACCCCCACCCCCCCCACCCCATGCATAATTGGGGAACTGTGGCCCAGGGAGGGGCAGTGACAGCCTCGGGTTACCCAGCAAGGTAGTAAATTAATCTGCAATACAAAAAAGAAACATGGGATTCACCTGAGCACCCAGCTCTGAGGTGGTGTGGGTGCTGGCTCCACGTATCTGCTTCATGCCCAGAGTGCGTGCCCGGCCCCCACCACCTCCATGTCCTGGTCTCCGTTTTTCTTGCTAATTAGAGGTCTCAGCAATGACTCCACTGTCCCAGCCATTTTAGAGCCGTCATTAATTTCAAGTGCCTTCAGAAATAATCACGATCGTAAAATCCTTCGAGCTGCTGAGATGCAAGCAGGCAGGACCAGCACACAGCAGGCGTCCAGGCAGCCCATGTGTGCCACCCTCTCTATCCGTTGCCCCAGGGGATTCCCGGTCCTGCCGGGGCCCCACCTCCTGCAGCCTCAGCCTCCCAGAGTGAGAGAAGAACAGGACTGAGGCTCTAACCTCACACATCCCCAGAGCGCTAAAGCTCAGCTCTACCTCTTCTCCACAGAGTGGCTGTGGGCAGGTCGCCAGTGCTCCCCTAGTTTCAGTTTTCTCACCTGTATGATGGGGACAACAATGCCAATCTTGCAGGGAGATCAGGAATGCAAAGTAGAGCTCAGAGCCTGGCTTCCCGAAGGGGTCGGATCTCTCTTCCAAAGTCCCCTGGCCACCCCCCACGCCCCCCATTGCAACCTCTCTGCTTTGCTGTGAGCATTCAGACTGCAGCAGGCTGGGCTCCTCGCAGCCGTCAGCTCCGCTGCAGTCCTGCTCGCTGGGTCTCACTCTGAAGCATAAGCAGGCTCCTGGTGAATCTTCCCCAGGAGTGGCTCTAGGATGCAGCCAGAGAAGTCCCAAACGGGGCCATCCTGGTCACACATTCTCCATGGCCCTGGGACCCCTGTGAGCAACATAAGGAAAACCACTGCACCCACACAGGGTAGAGGGGGGCCTGTACCATGGCTCCAGCAGGCGCCTCTGGCTTGGGGGGAGGGGGAACCAGGAGATAGCCCTCCTTTTTGTGGAGTCAGTATAACAAGGTTAGGGACCCAGACCCAAGCTGAACCCTCAAAAAGTCTTTTCCTCCAAGTTCTCCGCCCCCAGCCTCCCCTTCCCATTATTTACCCTGGTGTACTAAGACGGGCTGTGGGGGGTGGAATCTGGGAGGGGTGGTTTCTTTTGGAGACAGGAAAGGTGGAATAGCTTGACTGTTTACAATGGAAGTCTAAGACTGCCGGGCAGCCCCTGACGGACACAGTCATTCCAGATGCCTCCAAGACGCGGAGGAACAATTGGGGCAGGGGGTTGCTAGAAGATGCATCTGAGAGCTGGGTGAGGGGCGAGGTACTCTCCCCCATTTCTCCGCCGAGATCACTGAGGCAGGGAGCAGGTGAGTCGGGGGCGGAGATCTGCGGTGGCCGCGCCTTGCCTGCGTCAGTCGCCGCACTAGGAATAGCCCCCGCCCCCGCCCCCGCCCCGCAGCGGGTCTGGCGGAGCCTTTACGCAGGAGCTGGGGAGCGTCTATTCCTGTCGGGCTGTGGGAGGAGGCGGCGCGGGAGGGCGGGACTCACCGGTAACTCACAAACAGCCGGGGTGGGGGAGCTGGGAAACTGGGAAGGGGGTGCAAGCAGCACCGAGTCCAGGGGCCGCCTGCGCTGGGCTCTGGAACCGGAGGGGGGCCTCCTGTGCCCGCCGTCCCACCTCCCCTCCCACCTGTAAGTCCCTCTGCCAAGCCTGCCTCCCACGGGTTTACTCAGCCCTGGCAGGTGACTCAAATCCCCTTTCCATGCCTTACAAGCTGTGTGACCGTGGCCGAGTCGTGTAACTTCTCTGAGCTTGGGGTTTTTTCTGCCTGTCACAGAGGAGCAATCACGCCTTTTCCCAAGGCTGTTGGAGGATGAATTTGAGAGTGCAAGGTGCAGCGTGGACACCTGCTGGGAAGGGGCTCTAGTTAGACCTGGGATGAGAATGGCTATACACAGAAGGCAGGAGAGTTCTCCAAACAGGAATGTCAAGAACTGTGGTGTGGCAGTGAGACCGAGAGGCACCCAGAATCCGTTTCGCTGGACCCGAAGGTTTGTGCAGCTTTGGACTGTGAGGTTGAACTGTGGGAAGCAAGGCAGGGGTGGAGGCTGGGGAGCAGCCTCCCCAAGTCAGGCTGGCTCTCGTTGGGGCAGAGGTGGGGCACTGGAAGTAGGATCCTGGCTCTGTCCTTGAAACTGGCAGACCTTGGGCAAGTCTCCTGCCTCCTAGCCTTGGCTTCCTTCTCTGCCTTCCAGAATCCCTACCCCTGTGGACTCAAGGTATCAGGAGCGCTAATGTGCTAACAGAGAAGGGGCCACTGTGCCTGCTAGTGTCAGCATTGACGGTCCTAATAAAACTGGCTTGCCAGTAAAGAGCATCTGGCTCCAAGGAGATGGAAAGGGGTGTAACAGTGGAAGGAGGCGGGTCCGGGGAGGGTACGGGACTCTGCAGGCTTTGGCAAAACGTCCTGCCAGCCTAGTCTCTCTACCTGCGGGTCACGGAGGATCTAGATCTCTTGAGGAAGGAGTCTCAGTCCTTGGGGCAATCTACAGATGTGGCCCCATGCCAAGATCCCCCAGACGGGACCTTTCCAGAGCCAAGTCGTGGGGACCCGCTAAACCCAGACTGAGGCTCTGCCCTGCCCTCTGCTGGTCGCTGGGTGTAGTGCCGCGTCCACAGAGCCTGCTGCCCTCTGCTGGACGGGAAGCCAGCTTGGGCGGGGACCCGGATCGCAAATGCAGGCACACGAGCTGGCTCTGGGTAGAACCGCTAAGGCAGCGCGGCTCTGACCGCCGTCTTGTGCTTCCCCTCGTGCCGGCCTCGCCCCTAGGCCGCTAGGATGTGGCCCCTCCTGGGATTCGCGGACAATTGGAGAGGAGGGGACAAAGCGTAGGACAGAGGCTCCTGGCTTGATCCCTTCCATGCCGTCCTCCAAACAACCCTGGCCAGGTGGGGAGCCCTGGCCGTTCACGTGCGTGTGTCTGTCCACACGACAGTGTGCAATGACCCCAGTCAACACGTGTGAACACACGTGTTCACAGGCACACGCATGTGTCCAGGCGCAATCACACGCGAACGGGAGCACGCACACGCAAGGTGGACCGGGGGCCGGGCTGGCCCGGGACTGGCCAGTGCCTGCCTGGGACCCAGAGGGGCGCAGCTTGGTGCAGGCCTGGAGCGCGGGGGCGCGTGCTCAGGCACAAGGCTGGCGCGCCCCTCACCTGCGCCCCGCCGTCAGTTTCGCTGTCCCATCGGTGCAGAACAGCTTTGGGGCGCTGATCGCTCTCCGCCCCCTCCGCGGAAAGGAGACCTCTCCATTCTCCCCGCCCCCCGCGCGCCCCCCGGGTTGTGCGGCCGCGCCTTCTCCTCCCCCGCCCGGCTCCTGCCGCTCGCTCGCTCGCTCGCTCCCTCCCCCCTTCGGTCCCTCCTCCCTCCCTGGCTCGCTGCTCGCTCCTCGCGCTCCCTCCCCGCGCCGCGGCAGAGCGCGGAGCCCGAACGGGAGCCGGCGCGGGAGCCGGAGCGGGTAGCAGGCGACAGCGCAGGCGGCGGCGGCGACCGATCCCGGTCTCAGTCCCGGAGCGCGCGGGGTCCCCACCCGCGCCGCTCCGGCCCCTCTCCGGACGCGGGGCTCCGAGCAGCATGCGCGGTCGCTGCCCGCCGGCCCCAGCCCTGGCCCCGGCCCCGCTGCGGAGCGCGCCCGGCCTCGACCCCGGCCCCAGCGGCAGAGGCGGCGGCGGCGGCGGCTCCGGGCCGGCCCGGGGGGCAGAACCAGGCTCGTGGTGCCCGTGTCGCGCGTACTGAGCGTGCCCACCTCTCTGCCCGCCGGGGCTGCGGCCTCCGCCTCCCCGCTCCCGGGCTCCTGCCCTCGGTCCGGCTTGGCTCCCACCCGCGTGGGACAGACAGACGGACGGCCAGCCCCGCGAGGGCGCGCGGACTGCCGGGCGGAGGTGTCGGCGGAGGAGGAGACGGAGGAGGGGGCTGGGCAGGGGCTGGGGCCGGGCCGGCGGGAGAGACATGCGATTGGTGACCGAGCCGAGCGGACGGACGGCGCGCCCGAGATGCAGGTGAGCCCCGCGGTAGCGGCTGAGCCCCCAGCGAGTGCCCCTGGGGGCTGCCGTGGGCCCCAGCTTCACGCCCCAAGGGGATGCAGGGCGTCTTAGTGCCACCCAGACCCCCTTTAGGGTCACAGGCCTGAACCCCTATTGCGCTCCAAATGATTCTCCCCTTTCTCGTCTGTACCATCCTAGCAAATTCCAGGTTGGCCAGCTGGGACCCGGGAGCCAGGGAAGGGCCGTACCGGTGTCCCATTCCTGCCCCGTGCCCCCGCCACCCTCGATCCCGTTCTGAGATTGGTCACGCTAGCGGATAGCCCCTTGCTCAGCCCTGGGGAGGGGGTGCTCACCTCCCCTTCTCCCCCCACAGCCCTGGCCAGCACTAGGCACTCCCAAGCCAGAGGACGCGGGTCAGCGACCAGGTTTTCTGCGGGCTCCCGACTGGATGGCAGGGCCCTCCCCACAGGAGCCGCGGCCCCATTCCAGCTCCTGCCCAAAGAAGGGGGTGGGGGGGAGTCAGTGTAAGGAGCGCAGAGGACCGGGGAACCCCTTAGGGGCCTCCCCTTTGTCTGCCTTCAGTGGCTTCTCACTTCCTCCTGGCCCACTTTTCTGAGGCTGAGGGTGGGAGGTGGGAACCAGCTGGGAAGAGAGAGGTGAGGCAGGAGCCACCTGTCCCCCACCCACCCTCTTCGGAGTGAGGCTTGGGCTTCCTGCCCTCCAGGGTGTCCCTGGAGACTTGTCTCTCCGGGTGGGTCCCACCCTGAGAAGGGGTGGAGCTGCGCCGGGGGACATTCCCTGGGGCTCATCCTGGGGTCCCAGCCCAGCCCAGTCCGGCCTTGGCTGTGCCAGCACCTCCTCTTTGTTCTCTGAGGTCCCAGGGTCAGGTGGGGGAGGAGGGGCATGTGGGAGGGGGCGCAGCTTTGCCCAGTGGGTGGGAGTGCAGGAGGCGCATGAGGTGGGGGCAGTACCATCTGGGCCAGCCCCTTCCTGCCAGCCCAGCCCTCCGCTTCTCTGCTTGGGCAGCCAGAGGGCGCAGCCTGGCCCCCCCCCCCCAGCTCCCCTAGCTCCTGTTTTGGCACTGCTGGCTATTTTGGCGAGGCTCCAGCTCTGGGGCCTCCCATGCCTGGGGAGCCTGGGGCTTCCCCAAACCCAGCAAGGATTGCCGGTGAGCAGAAGGGTTCGCTGCTCCTGGGCCCTTTGTCCTTGTGTGGGCCAGGAGGGGTGCAAAGTCCTCGGCCACTGGGAAGGCACTGGCAGGTCTGTTGGGACAGCATACCTGTCCTTCCTGCTTTCTGCTGTGGCCGGAGGGAGGGCAGAGAGTGGCAGAGGGGATAAGCCAAAAACTCCTGCAGCCGTGCTGAAAAGGAGAACAGTCAGAGGGAGCTCCAGGCAGCACCCAGCTGCGTCCAAGAGGGGCTTTAGCAAGGCCCCCTGTGTGTTCTCATTGTCCATGCACGACTGCCCCCCCCCGAAGTGTGAAGTGTGAGATGGCCTGGATAGGATTCCATTAAGGCTGCAGTGCTCCCCAGGCCTGGTGTCAGGGTTCCAAGCCTGTGGGACCAGCTTTTCTGGGATAGGTGTGTGCTGCAGGCAGAGGTGTGACGGTTGTGGGCAGAGGGGTCTTGGGGAGCTGGAAGGCAGGGTGGAGAGACCACTTCATCTGCAGTGGTCCTCTTTGATCCTGGGGTCATCTTCATCCCCCGCCTCTGAACAGCCATTTTTCCTGTACTGGGTATTGCTTTGTGAAACCCAGGATTCTGGAGGAACACTGCCCCACGCCCCCCCCACTTCAGCATAAAGTCAGAAAGGACCTTGTGTCCCTGTGGCTCCACTATGTTGGTCTTCAGGTGCCTACAGAAGCAGACGACTGGGGCCGTGGGTGGGGCTGGGGTGTGTCTCCTATGAGAGAGGTAGTATGTGGTTTATGCAGGGTCCCACAGAGGCATGGGGGGAGATAGTGGGCGGGGGAGGGGAGGCAGGAGGTAGTGGTGGGTTCAGAGTTGGGACTTTGGTGTGGCTTTCTGGCCCCAGTTTCCTTCCCAGTGTTTACCCACTGATTGCTTTCCATTCTGTTCTGTTCCCACCAGTTCTTACACCTATCCCCCCCACCCCTCCTTGCTTGGTTCAATCTAGCATTCCCACCCAAAAGGCCTTCTTCTCTCCCTCCCCTGGCCCCTCCTCCAAGGAGCCTCCCTGACTGCTCCAAGTTGCTGACAGTCCTCCTCAGGCACCACAGTGTAGAAACACTCTGGTTTGCACCGGAAGTTGTATCAGCCATTCATTCATGCATTTATTCCGCACATCCTGGCTGAGCTGCCTGCTTGGCTCTGAGCTGGGCTCCATGGTTCCTACAGATTGCCATGTACACACCTGGTAAGCTTAGCACACATGGGTCAGGCTCTCCTGCCTGGCCCCGGGGATGGGGCAGATTGGGAGGCCCCAGGGAGCAGCTGGTGGCAAGGACTGAAGGGGACAAGGTGTCCCCAGCCTGTTTTGTTTGGTTTTTTTGGTGCTGGAGATGAGCCAAGGCATCACTAAGGGTGTTCCCAACAGGGATGGGGAGAGCCAAGGCAGGGCGCTCAGAGAAAGGGGATGTGGTGGGGGCCGAAGCAGTAGAGGGGTAGGAGGAGAAGGAAAGGGAGCCTGGCAGCATCCTGAAGTGGCAGTCAGTTTTGCAGAAGCACAGGAAGCAGGGGGTTCTAGAGTCGGAGGTTCTCTGGAGAAAGAGTACGAGAAGGCAGGACACTGGGGTTTGAACCCAGGACCTCACACTTGCTAGGCAGGCACTTTACCACTTGAGCCACTCCACCAGCCCTTTTTCTGTGATGGGCTTTTTTGAGATTGGTCTCCTAAACTATTTGCCTGGGGCTGGCTTCGAACTCCTGATCCAAGGAGCCTCCTCAGCAGCTGGGATTACAGATGTTACAGGGGTGAGCCACCCGCTGGCTCATTTGAGGCATTCTTCATGCTGACCTTTGTTGTGTGAGTGAATGAGTGAGTGAGAGCAAGTGAGCGCCATGGGCCCGAGGAGCTGTGCTGGCAGTCCACTCCTCTTGTGTGTTCAGTCTTCAGTGTCACTTCATAAGGCATTCAAGCCTCAGCTGCACCACTTCCTGTCTCTGTGACTTTGGGCAGTTCATCTGTCTGTTTTCCCATGGTAACAGTAGTATCTACGGCTCTGGAGATGGTGACAGTTAAGTGTGCTAATGTATGCAAAGCGTTTACAACAGTGCCTGGTACACAGTAAGCGCTTAATGAATGCTAGCTACTCAGTGTTTCTATAAGTGATGTGCTTTAGGTCTTATCCTTGTAGGTGGTACAGAGATTTGATTTTATAGCTGAGAAAACAACCAGAGGGGTGGAGCCACCGCCCAGATCCCCCAGCTGCAAGCAGGGGCTCCTCTAGAGTGCCCTCCTCCTGGCCCCTGTGTGGGGCGCTTGCACAGTGGCCCAGGCCTGGCCTGTTAACGAATTTATCCATGCGTCCGAATCACAATGGAAGCAGCGATAATACAATAAACTCTGTGACCTTACCTTCTAACTTGAACTCTCGGAGTTTAATAACGAAGAACACCTTCTCTGTTCTTTGATCCGTTTACCGCCACCCCATCTTACTACGTATTTAACTTTCTCTTGCCTCTTTGAAGTCATATATTTGGGGCTGGGGGTGTAACACAGTGGTAGAGCGCTTGCCTAGCATGCATGAGCTCCTTGGCTCGTCTCTAGCACCAGAAAACTAAAACAAAACAAAAATATATATAGATGTATATAAACTGTTCTTGTTTTTAGTTATTTTCAAACTTCATTAAAAGAGGGGCACACCCTGTGCACAGTCCTGGAATTGGCTTTTTTTCTTTCATCATTGTCCTCTCAACTGTCATCTGTATTGTTGCAAATCATAGTGGAGTCCTTCATCCATTTTCACTGATGTATAGTGCTCTGGTGTCTGAGCATAACAACGTAGATTTCTTGAACTCTTGGTGGGCATTTGGGTTGTTACCTTTTTTGGATCTTCCAAACAATACCGTCACAAACCTTGTTCCATCTCAGGAAGCAACGTGCAGAGCATCTCTGGGACATGTGGCTAGGGGCGGAATTGCTGGGCCGCCAGGTGTACTCATGTCTGACTTTCTTAGAAAAATGTGCCAGCGTCTTTTCCGAATTAGTTGGCCTATGCCTCCCCGAGGGAGGTGAGTGCTCCCTTGCTCAGCATTCCTGCCAACTTCATGCCATCAGCCAACCTGGTTTTTTCCTGATTGAATGAGTGTAAAATAGAATTTCATTATGGCCTTGATTTGTGTTCCTGGGAATTCAAAGGTTTTCTGGTGTATAAAACAGGCGCTGAGATGAATAGCAGTAGTGTGGCACATATGCTCACTAACTGACTGCTTGTGAGCCTCAGTTTCCCTAGTTGGGAGATGCTGTCTGTATAAGCCCTGAGCTCAGGCATGGGCAGGAGCCATCAAGGCCGAGGTGGGGATGAAGGAGGAGCGAGGAGGTCTTAAGTCCCTCCTTAAAGTCCAGGAGCCCCAGGAAGAGAGGGGAGGTCCCAGCTGGGGAGGCAGAGGAAGCCCATGCTTCATTATTTTGACAGCCCCTTCCTGCACAGCCCTCTGAAGACCCCATCCCTACACTTTGGGGCCTGGCATTGGTCAGTGCTTAGCATGAGTGGGGTGACCAGGGAAGGAACGCTGGGTGAACAAATGTGTGTTCTCTCCTCCTCCATTCTCACTTCCTTGGGGCGTCCTCTCTGATTGCTCTGGCCCTGGAGTGGCGGCTCCTGGACATTAAGAGTCCCCAGTCACAAGGCCCACAAGTCCCCTGCCTGCCCAGAGGGGCTGAAAAGCCTGGTGCTGGCAGGCTCATTTGGAACTGCTTCCTCTGCCTGCCTGGTGCACCAACGATTGATTCTGCCTGCCTTCCCCGCCCGGGCCTGGGCCCCTGGAGCTGGTTAGAGCCGAGCGCCAGGGCTGGCGGAATAATTATGCCTATTTCATGTGACACCCAAATTG